ATTTACTCCTTAGAGAAAGAGATTATTTGGTGTCCGGCTTACCGCCGTGTTTCCCTCACTTTACGTGGATGACCAGTCACGAGGTCAGAAGAAAAACGCAGAACTGCCTTAAGAAGGTGAGTGGTAACAGAAGGGCTAAGGTCAAGTCACGCCACAAAGTGTTTTTACGTGCCCCAGAAACCACGTAAGCAGCCCTGTGCCACATGGCAACCGTTGTACGGAGACACCCCGACACAGAGTCGTAATGAGCCGCGCGCTCACGTGGATGTGGGAAAATACTGGGGCGACAAAGCACCTGACAGAGAACACAATTCCTACGCATTTGAGTGGCAAGATTTAAGTAGCTGAAAAGCATCATACGCTGGGCATTATGCGTTACGATTCATTTCAAAACTCAATTCTTGTCTTGAAGGACGTGAAAGCTTATTCTGGAAGCTGGGAGAGACACAGCATAACCTGCCGGCAGTTCATCAGCAACACAGACGAGTACAGAGAGATGGGAGGCCCCCAGGGATTCTGCAGACCCTACATTTACTCTGAACGGCAACAAGGAAGTTGGGTGGCGTCGCCGGGGAGGACGGCATGTGGGCACTCAGTCAGTGGGTGGTGCAGAAGGCCCCCTGCAAACCGCGCCAGTCTCAGGGGCAGCGGGGGGACACGGAGGCAAGGGTCCTTCAACCCTCCCAGGTGTAAATGGACCTGCCGCGTAGGTCCTGATGGAAATGTCACTTGGGCGGAATGCGCTTCCGTGGCATTTCCGGTCAGTAGCAACTGTTCCTCCAGCCCCACAGCAGCTGGAAGTGTGTTTCTACGCGATCACGGAGCAGCTTTTCAGAACGGGGGGCACGGGGAAGAACGTGTCAGAGAAGAGACCCAGGGCCTCCTGCTCGTCTGTGCCAAGCATGTGCTGAATGTAAGGGTGAGTCGATGACTCAGAGGACGGTCCCTCGCTGGCTTCTATCACCCTGTGGGACTGGGGAGCAAGCCTCATGTAACCGTGGTGGATTCCAGCTACCTCCCCGGTCCAGACCTCCCCCGGCTGTAAAATCACACCACACCCTTATAATTGCAACAGCATAAATCACGCTTACGAAATTGTTTATGTTTCCTTACGCACTTTGGATTCTGCTTTTCCAGCTGGCAAAAACTCCATTTCAAAAACTGGATTATCATGGTGGCCAACAATTACAAAGTAGAAGCTTCCAGACATTGTCTTCAATATAGCTCCTAATTAAATGAAAATAACACATACTTTTAGTATTCCATACTGAAAACCAAAAAGGTTTAACAAGAAGTCTAGAATTCAATTTTTTCCTTAAACTTGACATTGTAGCAGGGACCACAAAGCTTGTCGTGCTTTCCACTCTACTGCCATAGACATTTGGCTTTTGGACTATACAGATTACATGCCTGGGATATGTCCTGTAGAATCCAGTACTTGAGTTTTCATAGGGAACCTGGAAGACCTCTGATACAAAATCATAACAACATCCTCGACCTGAGAGTTGAGAATATTCAGAGTAAGCTGGGCCAAACTCGGACTGGACCAGTTAGCGTTATTAGCACTAACAATGGGAAAAACGAATGAAGGGTGATTTTGTCCTCTTCCTACCTGAAGTATGTATAATACAAATCTAAGTCTCTGCAAGTACAGGAGCCTAGGATATGCCTCCTCCTCCAGCAATATTCATAAGAAAGGAAGACATGGGGCCCCCGGCTGGCTCAGTCCCCGGAGCGTGCAACTCCCGATGCTGTGTAATCCTCAAGGTCCCTCTAAGGGATCCATCATCGTTCTGTTTCTTCCACCAGGAGGAAACGGACATTGGGAGGTTAAGGCCCGTGCCTGTGGTCACATCATCAGTAAGTGGCAGAGCGAGACCCGAACCTAGCTTTGTCTGATTCCAGAGACCCTGTGCTAAAAATACATACAGAAATCCTTCCGCCCATCTGTCTGTCCGTGCAGATTTTGACGATGCTAAAAGCCACAGAAGCACGGATCCTCCCCTGCGACTGCTTCCCCCCTGACTTTGTCTTCATTTTATTTCTTCAGCAAACCTGTTAATCCTAGTTCTAAGACTTCTTAATGCCTCAGATGTCTTTCTTTTTGGATTATGATTTCTTCCATCTTTTCTAGAATATAAAACTGTGTCTTCCTTTGTTTTTTTTTTCTTTTTTTTTAAATTTTATTTTTAAGTAATCTCTATACCCAACCTGGGGCTTGAACTCACCACCCCAACATCAGGGGTGCGAAGCACCAGGCACAACAACATCTGGCTCACGGGAGGTGCTCAGCAAATGTGATCTAGAACAGCATGGAGGAGCGTACGCACATGGAGGTGTGTGGACCCTTACGGCCTCCACACGGGGCAGCAGTCTGGTTACCTGAGAGTATACAGTCTCACGGAGTGTACGGTGACACATGTCAGAGCCCAGGGCTCATCGAGCCACACTGGGACTTCTGCTCATTCACAGAGAACATCAGAACACCTGAAACGTATTTCCTAACCAGTACAACCTTTGTTAAGGAAATCGAGGGACAGCTGGCACTTTTACCTCTGGACTTGGAAGGCCCACGACTGGAAGACAAGGCAGATGGGACGTTCTTTGGGCACGATGAGGCCAAGAGGACTTCAAACGTTATTTGGGGCAGGTGTTGGCCCACCACAGCCCGCAGGCCAAATCTGGCCTTGTCCACCCTTTCATTACGGTCTAAGGCTGCCTTTGCGCGACAACAGAATGGCAGAGTGGGGCAGCTCCGACAGAGACCATCCGACCCTTTACAGAAAAGTCTGAGGGGGAAGATGAGAAAAAGGCCCAAACAGTAAAACTGAGTAACAAACACAAGCAGGAATGCTATAAAAGCTACGCAGAACCAGGAGAATCAGCAGTGATTCTCAAAAGAAAGAAATTCTCAAGGGGAAGGGGGATGGGAGCTGGAAATGTCAACAAAGTCGACAATGATCTCATTAACTGCAATAGGTTTCACGGCTAGAGTGTGCCAAGGGAAGGGCTTAATTCGTTCGGTACGAACACTTAAGCAGCAGCAGCACACTATACACGTAGAAGGAAGCTAAGCCTCATTCCTATACCTGCAGAGTGTCAGTACAGGGTGAGGATAAACAGAAAGGGGAGCGAAGGAACCATAACCACATAAAGGTTATGTCGCAAACCGTCCCGCTGGGCAGAACTTGAACTGCCAAGAATTTCACAGCAGCTGAAGGAGTACTGTAACTACCGGATTCTATGGGAAAAACTGGAAGGTTACTCCTTTAATATTTGAGGCTTATTATGCCCAGGTGGTAGGCAAAAGGGAGACGCACTTTAGAATTCTGTGCTGATACACTCAAGTTTCGGGGGGGTGGGGCGGCGGGGTGGATGTTTTATGTCTGCATCGTCCGATGTGGTAGCCGCTGATGGCTACTGTGTCTGCAAGACTGAATCTGGAACTTCACTTAATTTTCATTAATTTAAAAGGCCACATGTGGTTAGTGGCTTCTGTATTGGACGGTGCAGCTCTAGAACAGTGATTTGAAACGTTTTTAAAGCTTTGCAACCTCTTCAACCTTCCCTCCATCCGCAAAGCAAGTATTACTTAGAGCTACAGTATGTAATACAAATAAAGCAACTGCCGTGTGTGTGTGCCTGCTCGATTTTCCCATCACCCAAAACAGGGGCCCTTCAAGCATCTCCAAGGACGACTAGGTCTCGGGGTGTGGAGGAAATGGCTACACGGAACTTGGCAACGGATTAAACCGGGGAACTGAGGAAGCGGCAAGAACCAAGGATGTTCCCAAATGCCTGACTGAGATGATCAAGCAGAATATCAAGATGAGTCTATTCGCCAAGAAAGGAAATAGGAAAGGGAAAAAAGAGGGATGAAACGAACACGTCGCTTCTAAATATGTGGTGGAAGGCAGAACAGCACGCCCCTCGGTGTCCACATCCTAATCTCGAAAACCTGCGAGTGCTAATGTACGGGCAGAGGGGAATGAAAGCTGCAGGTGGAACTGAGGGCGCTCGTCAGCTGACTTCAAGATCGGGAAAGGAGCCTGGACGAGCCAGGTGGGCCCAATATAATTACAATGCTCTTTAAAAGTGGAAGAGAGAGGCCCATGCGAAAAGTCAGAAGGAGGGTCACGAAGACGCCACGCTGGCGGGGCTGAAGACAGAAGAAAGAGCCGGGAGCCAAGGAACGCGCGCGGCCTCGAGAAGTTGGAAAGCACAAAGAGAGCCCCGCTTCCTGCTCCAGAGGGGAGCACAGCCCTGCGGATACCCGGATTCCAGCCCGGGGAGGCCCGTGCTGGACTTCTAGGCTGCTACGGAACTGGAAGAATAAATTCACGTCGGTGAAACCGCTCAACTGGGGAGGATTTGTTCAGGAGCAGAAAACAGACGTCAAGGCTGAAAAGCCTACAGGAGTGAAAAAAAGGAAATACTCGAAGTGCCAGCAGAAGGTAGGTGCGTTGTATAGGGAGACTGAGGACGGAGGGAGTTCGCTTACCACGGGAGGAAGCTTTCAAAGCACTGTGGGAAAGGCCCAAGGGAGGGGAATGAGGGGCTCGGGTGCGGCAAGGGGAAGCTACTTAGGCAGCTGGGGGACGATGACGTAGAGAACGGAGGCTGTGTCTGTCTCCCAGCACCCATCCCTCACGCCTGCAGGGAAGCCCGGCACGTAGGAAGGGCTCCACGCCTGCAGGGGGGAACTGCGCGGGTAGGGACAACAGCTGCGAGCGGTCGGGCAAAGCTGAAAACACGAGAACGAGAGGCAGGCCGGGATTAACTAGCCTCGACGCAGCAAAGAATCTTCTGAATGTTCTAGTGCTGAGGCCCTCCTGGTCCTAGAGGCCTAACAGAAGTCGTGATGAAATAACTGCACCTTTGTATGAAGCTGAGGTTGAGGCGCTCGTCAAGAAACCCTCCATGACCAGAGACTGGAGTCTCCCCGGGGTGCGAACAGCAGCCGTCACTGATGGCTATGCTGACCTGAGCTGCTCCGGAGACGGACAACTAAAATTAATGTAGTGATAACAAAAAGCTCTGCACTACCTTGAACGGAGAGAGGGTGTCTACGTGATGGAAGAACTAGGGCGATGATGGGGTGCCTGGCTGGCTTGGCTGGAGGAGCGAGCGACTCTTCATCTCGAGGTTGTGAGTTCAAGTCCCAAGCTAGGCGTACAGGTTATCTAAACCTTAGTGCCGCCCCCCCCCCCTTTCTTTTTAACTTTTCTTTTTTTTAACGTTCATTTTTTTTTGAGAGACCGCATGAGTGGGGGGGGGAGGGGCAGAGAGCGGGAGACAAAATCCGAAGCAGGCTCTGGGCTGTTTGCACAGAGCCCGATGTGGGGCTCAAACCCACGGACCACGAGATCATGACCTGAGCCGAAGTCGGACACACAACCGACTGAGCCACCCGGGGGCCCCAGCCCTTTTTTAACATAAAAATGAGACCACAAATCTGTGAGGCTGGCATCAGAAGGGCGAAAGCACAAAACGAATGGGAATGTGTCCGGTTAGAAAAACAAGTCACCTTACACTACCATCAAGAAAAGGGAAGAAAGGTCACCTGGTACAGAAGTAACAAGATGCAGGTCTGCTGAATCAGCATGATTTTCAACCATTTTTCGTGTGTGTGTGTGTGTGTG